GGTGTTTGCAGGCAACATCTGTCTTGTGTATTGAGACATCTGAGGCTAGAATTCCACCTGGGGGAGGCAGAAGGTAAGAATTCAATCCTGCTAACTGTCGTGCTAGTGAATGTTTTCTATATTTCCTTTGTAGCTACTTTACCTGACCCGTGTCCTAACAACACTGTCCTTGTGTAGTGTATATATATTATATATATAAATTATACATGATGTATTTCCAGAGGTTTTCCTCTCACCTAACATCTCCCCAGTTTTTCTATGAGCTTTTTCTCTGTTACCTTTTTCCTGGTTTCCCCCGTTTGGAAGCATTGTAAAAAAGATGTTTTTTGTGTCTTCTCATTGACAGTTTTCTTTTATTCATGTAGCTTTCTCTTAGATGTGTTTCTGCTTCTAGTTTTTTTTTTAGCACGCTTTTAACTGTTACACCCAGCCATTTTCTGCTGAAGTCAGTTTTTTTTTTTGGTGTTTTTTGTTTGTTTCTGGATCATGTTCTTATTTATTTTCATATTTTTTCATTTAAAATACAGGTTCTTTTTTGTCTTCATTTCTGCTTTTTGCCGTACCAGAGTTCCTCCTGTCAGTGTAAATGTCACATCTTTCAGTGAACAGAAATTTGAACGAGATGTGTTTGGAAATTTTTATGCTCCTTTTAAGAAATTTTGCACCACCATCTTCAGCTGCTCTATATGAAGTCCTCCAGAGTGGTGGAATACTGTTGTCAGTCTTGGTTTAATACTATTTTCTTTTTTTTGTGAAGATTTAACATTTCAAGTAGTATTTTGAACTTTTCCTCTATTTCTTTCGTCCTAATTCCTTGTTTTGTCAAATACCAAACCAATAGCTTGTGGAGTTGGAGTCATAAGACCAACCACAGTGCCTGAGAAACAGGCTTAGTCATTGGCCAACTTGCCAAAATGCCTTTGGAGGAGGCTTAGATCTTTGGCTGAAAGTCTAACGTCTAAAGTACACCCATTTACAAAATCAAGTTTTTTGCTAATAGCTTTTTCTAGAATGCAATATTTTTATTTGAAATTTTGACAATAGACAGGATTAGATTTGTCTTATAGTACAGAATCAAATGGTTGTGTGTCTGACTGTCAGTGTTCTGTTTGTCTAAGTTGCCAGTTAATGAAATTGAAATTTCCACTGATTGTTTGTGTTTATTCTCTAAATTTAACCATGGGCACATACTTGGAATACAGACAAGCAGCGAATAAATTGTAAAAAGTATTGCCTCAAAAGACCAATACAGATTATCTTTGCTTTAAAATCTCTCAGTTCCACCATAAGGAATGAAAAGTTCTTTCAAAGAAAAAGATTTTATTTTGGTTAAATGAACGGTCACTAGTAAACATCTTCATTTCTCTTGACTGGGGTATCTCATGATCCTTCTAGTGCCACATTGGGTACTTAGTTTTAGTATTCTTTATCTTTTTTTTTTTTTTTTGGTCGGCTTTTTGTTTTGTTTTGTTTTTTTGTTTGTTACTACTTCCTTGACGGACCTCCCACCCAGTGACGGAGGTGAAGTTGAAGGAAGCCCCCGTGGAAGCTCCGCCCCCTGAGAAAGGCTGCGCTT